ACTAAAAAGAAGAAAGAAGAGGAGGAGAGGTGGGGAAGGAGGAGGACAAGGGGAAGAAGAGAAAGAATCGGAGGGGCAGGGGGTGGGGAGGGGGAGGAAGAGGCAGTTATAATAACTGCATCTTAGAGTTGTTCTGAGAATTAAATGAATTAATATATTTAAAGTGCTTAGAACACTGTTGACATCCGGTTGGCACTTGAATGCTGGCTATTCTAGCTGTGTATGGTTTCCAGCTTGGCCAGTCCGGGATGGGCAAAGAAAGGGAAGCTGCCTTCCCATGAAAGAACATTCCATCCACACACCCACCCCCTTAGCTGAGACTCAGAGACAGATGAAGGTGTATGTCCTTGAGCAAGTCCTTACTCTGCTCTGAGCCTCAGTTTCTTCATCCATACAATTCAATAGGACCACTGTCTTTTTCCTCTCTGTCTAGAGCTGTGGTGCTCAATACAGTAGCCATGAACCACATGAGGCTATTTAAATTTATATTAATTAAAATTAAGCAAACTGGCTATTTCAATTTATCAGTCACATTAACCACATTTCAGATACTCAGTGGCCATGGGAGATTAGTGGCTCCCAAAGTGGATGGCACATGTACAAAATATTTCTATCATCGCAGAACGTTCTGTTAAACAGCACTGACCTCAAAGTCTGTAAAAACCTGGCTCCCAAATAGCCCAGCTTCTCTGCAGTCCCTTGTCCTCTCCTGTCCCAGAAAGAGAGAGCCTGGAGGTGCCTGGGCTTCCCACAGCCTGAACCCACATACAGTCCATGCTCCTGGCCTTGTGAAGTACAGATGGCACATCTACAAATGGAGACCATTATATCTTAGATAATAGCAGCTTCTCTTTACTAAGCTTCAATTTTGTGTCTGTGGTAGGCCCTCGATCGTACATCATCTCATTTGATCCTACAATCACTCTGTGTTAGATATTGTCATTCCACTTTAGAAAAGAGAAAACGGAGGCTCAAAGAGGTGAAGTGACTTGCCCAAGGCCGCACACCTATATATGGCAGAGCCAGAATTTGAATAAACGTTTCATTTGACCTCACACCTTTTGCTCCTGCTGCTTTGCTGAATAACATCTTCAGCACCTTCAAGTAACCGTCTTTGTTACTCATTCACTGTGGGTCATGCTAAGAAGTCTTCAGCCTCTATAACCCAAGAGAAGAGCCTGGACTTCTGAGCCCAGGCCAACGCCGCATTTGTTCTTGCCAGATCCCCAGACCTACAGGGAAATGCCAGCCAGAGGAAAGAGGCTCGGGGCAGAAGCCTGACACTCAGGTACCTCAGTGGGATCCATTACCTTAAGGAGAAGGATATGACATTGGGAGAGGGTCCTTTCCCAGAGGAGGCATAGCAGGAGCAGGGAAGATAAAGGGAAAAGCAGATGTGGGGCAGGCAGAGAACATGAATAGCCCCTCCTGGCCTGAACGAGGGGCATCTGGCATAACAACAATAATAGCTATAATTTAATGGGCCCTTGCTATGTGTTGGGCACTGTGGTATTTTCTATCCATTACCTCACTGTAATTCTTTTGAAAACCCTGAAAAGTATGTTATCATTCTCACTTGACAAAGGAGGAAACTGAGTTTCAGATAGGTTAAGTGCCTTGTCCAAGATCACCCAGCTACTGAGAAGCAGGGCCAGGATTAGACTCCAGGTCTGTCAACCTCTTGGCTTCCCCAGCTCCCACACCTGGCAATGGGGCTAGGACCTAGAGGAGCTATAGTGTAGCTTCTTGCCCTGAGCCCCTCTGTTCCCCAGGCTGCAGAATTGTCAGCTCACCGTCCAAGATGTGGAGATGCTCATAGCCCAGCTCCAGGAAGGCCCCCACCTGGACGAAGTAGAGTGAGTATCACAGGAAGCAGTGGAGCAGGAGACAGAAGGGTGTGGGCAGGAGACAGGAGGGGAAGGCAGGACAGTGTAGGAAGGGCTCAGCTTTGGGCGGATGGTGTCGAGAAGGGCAGACGGCCTCATGGAGAATTTGGGGGAATCAGATTACCATAGCAGCTGCCACCGTTTAGCATTTGCCCCCGTACCGGGTACATTTACATATATCCTCTCATTTAATTCTTACACCTCTGTGATGTAAGTACGGTTACTATTTATATTTCATAGAAGAGGAAATTAAGTCTCAGAAAGGTAAGTCTGCTCAAGGTCACACACCTAGGAAGAATCAAGGCCTGGGTTCGAGTTCAGACAGTTCAGAGGGTTTGATATCCAATAATCGCAGAAGCACCTAAGACAGTGCCAGGCATACGGTATGCAGTCTTTCAACGTTCGTTACCATTAAGGTCCACGTATTACAGTGATGCATTGACTAAAGTTAGTGAGGGGCCGTGTGAGTGCTGAGGGCTGAGGGGAGACCCCACCCTAGCAGCACAGCACATTGGGCCGCTCTGTCTCAGCCTCTCCGGGAACCAGCTGGAAGATGAAGGCTGTCAACGGATGGCAGAGGCTGCACCCCAGCTGCACATCGCTGGGAAGCTGGAGTGAGTTCTGCCCACCCCACTAGTGGGAAACGGTTTGGGGCGGGGAGTGTTGAGATTGGAGAACAGTGGTTTGGAGCCTTGGCTTTATACTTCAATCCTGGCTGTCATTTACTAGCTTTGTGACCCTGGGAAAGTATTTTAACGTGGCCGAGTCTCAGTTTTCCCATTTGTTAAATGCGATTAAAATGGTGGTTATTTTACATACCAGGAAACTGAGGCTCAGAGAGGTGAAAACAGTGAGTTGGTCCTTATTGCTCCAGCTGGAGAACTTTATTCTCTGAGTGGGGTGAGGAGGTCCTGCATCTCTTGGCTCATCCATCCACATAAGCCGTAAGGATCCAGGACATCCCAAAAGGGATAGCTAGCAAGCCGCTGAGCCAGGAGGGCCTTAGAGCTGTTTGGGATGGGAAACTTCAGCAGCCTGCTGATGGCTGCCTCCTTCCTCCTCTCTACAGCCTCAGCGACAATGGGCTCTCGGTGGCCGGGGTGTACCGTGTGCTGAGTGCAGTGAGCACGTGCCAGACCCTGGCAGACCTGCACATCAGGTAAGAGCTCCCAGTAGATCACTGTCACCCACTCCCACCTCCTGCCTAGGGCTCCTGGGCTCTCCCATCATTCTCTTATAAGTCCTCAGACTTCTCTCTGGCCCCAGGCCTTAGGTTGGGACCTGTAGAATATTCTGCTGGTGCCCCGCCCAGGTGCCCTAAAGAGCTGGTGTGCCTATTTCCAGCTGCTACGGGTATTGGCCACTCACAGCTTACACCTCTGGATAACTGCCTTGGACTGTTACAGCTTTCCCTAGCTCCCCAGCTAGGAGTGACAGAGACAGAGACAGAACTCTTCAGCCCCCTTGCCTCACATGGGACAAACTTTTGGTGCCATTCACACTCCAGAGCTCCCTGTGGGATTAGGCTGTGAACCTGTCTCATTCTGTTTCCCTCAGTTCCTTAATGGTTTCTCCTGAGAGCAGGCCCCCCAGTATGCCACATGTACTGGTGACCAAGTGACACGTGACCTCCCCCCCACCTCATTCATAGGCTGCGGCTCTGCTGCTAGGCAACCTAACCTAAGACAGGGGGGCCCAACCTTATTTCTATAAGTCCCAGTGTTAAGTCTAGGGACCGAAAGTCAGATGCTAATTAATGTCAACACGGTGACCACCCAGAGGGACTGTCAACTGAGGATGGTGGTCTCTGCTTTAAACACCACTCAAAGGAGGAGACAGAGACCCGATTCACCCTAAAGGTGCATTAGGGGACCTTAATTCACATAACGATTCAATAAAGGATCCCTACAGCGTTCCAAATGACACTCCATTCAGTTCTAAATTTATACCAAAGAAATCAAACACATTTAGCTGCGGAAATGTTCACCTCAGTATTGGTTATAATAGGAAAAAATGGAAATAACTTAAACGTTTAACGATAGGATATTAGTTAAATAAACTAGGTTGCCTCCAGAGAGAAGAAATTGTTGGAACCAGATGTGGCTGCAGCCTTAATGTGGAGGGATGACTGTGGTGTATGAAGTAAAAAAAAAATTTTAATTCATCATTTTTATAGTAAAGCTTTTCAAACATACTCAGATAGGGAGAATGGTATAATGAACAACCAGTTCTCACCAAAAATTATCAACATTTTGTCGCCTTTGTTTCATCTGTCTTTTGAAAACCTAATTTTTAAAAAAGAATTTGAAAAAAAAAACAAAAATAAAAAAATAAAAAAGAATTTGTAATTTCAATCCCATTTTTAAGGAAAAAGAAAGATAAAGAACATTCACTGCATTAAAAAAACAAAAGACTTGAAGAAACCAGTCCAAAATGTTATCAGTGAGGTTGATATATGGGAGAGATTACGGGTGATTTTTCTTTATTTTCTTTTTACTGGATTTTCCAAGTTCTCCACAGGGGTGAAGTATGACTTTTGTAATGAGAAATATATCTAGAACCTCCAGTTTGCAAAGGCGAGGTTAGGGATGCTCCTGTTGTACGTTACAGCCTCATGTGGACTCTCAGTGTCTGTCCTGACCTGGCAGTGACCTCACCCCGCTGGAGTGAGTACCTTTAGCTGAGGGTGCCAACAGCAGGCAGAGGGAGGGGGGATTTTAGCCTGAGGCCCAAACAAGAGAGAGGGCAGACTATTCTTTCAAGATCTTGCCAGAAAGTGGGGGCTGATAAGTTTGTGACATCTCAGTGGAAGAAAGACTCAAGGCCCCCCCAGAAGCTCAGCAGAAGTCAGGGGAGAGTCAGAGTAAGTGGCTGCAGCTAGAGGCAGAGGGATGGCGTCTTAGCGGTCCCTCCAGGCCAGGCTGAAAAAGGACTTGGAGCAGTAGGAACCCCATAAGCCTCTTGTCTCCTCTCTTTTCTCCACAGCCTCTTGCATAAAACTGTGGTCCTCACGTTTGTCCCAAAGATGGAGGAACAGGAGGGAACCCAGGGGAGGTAAGACCCCAACACCATCCCAGCCCTACTCTCAGCCAGAGCCATCTCCTCCCTGACCTCCACAGCTGGACAGTGCCACTCAACTGCTGGGGGACCTCGACAAATCCACGAAGACTCAGGATGCAGCCCCGAAGGGGAGCTGTCTTCCCATTTCCAAGTGGTGTCTGAAGAGAGCCCATGATGCAGCGTGGAGGCTGTGTGCTGGGGCGGTTTGGGGTAGCCAGAGAGACCAAGACCCTTCGGCCTAAACCCAGAAGATCACCTGGACTGTAGCTCTGATTACAGTTAGAATTTCTGGCCCAATGGCCTAGAGGTGTTTGCCTCCTCTAGGTTGCCTTCCTGGATTACCCCCGCCCAGCACATGGGCAGAGACTCAGCTCTTTCTGCCTCAGTATCAACCTGCAATGTCCTCTGTAGGGTCCGAGCTTTTGAAGACTTACTTAGAGATGAGATAGACATCTCTGAAGGCAATGATGATGATGATAATGATATTAATGATACTAACGGTCAAGGTTAATTGAGCACTTACTATGATATGTACCAAGCACTAAACTAAGGCAATTCATATATATTCTCCCAGTAAGAAGCTAAGGGGTTTGTCCCAGGTCACACGGCCAGGATGCGAAGAAGCCCATCGGAACCCAGATCACACTGTCTCCAGGCCTCGCATAGACATTGAATGGGGGGAAGTGAGGCTGAGGATGGACTCTGAAGACAGTGGGTGAGGCAATGCTCAGCCTGGCCTTGGTGTGTGTCCCTCCAGGGTTCCAGTTCTTGACAGCCTTGTGCCCCAGATGCCCTCTGAGCTGCCCCTGCATTCTTCAAGGATCAGGTACAGTGATGACCTGCAGGTCCCAGGTGTGGCTCCAGCCTCCTCCCTCCCTCTGCACGACACCTGTCCCCAGGCTCCCAGCCCCGGGTGCTCCCTGGATGGCATGACCTACTACGTCCAGGAGTTGTGGCCTGACTTCCCTGCCTTTCACCTCTCCCGTCCAGCCCACCACAGGTGGGGCTTACAAGGCAGCTCCCTCCATCACCAACCCTGCCAGGGACCACCTTCCTTTTAGCTACTCTGACTTCCAGCAGCTGAGGGATTGTGGGAACTCTGGATGGAGAGGATGGGCAGTTTGCAGCCCCTTTTGTCCTATTCCTAGGACCTGGGCCTGGGGGTTCAGGTCAGCACCCCAGGGCTTCCATCAATACTCATCTGGCCCTCTCTCATTCTCTGTCCGTCTGAATCTCCCTCCTTGTCTATCTCTCATTGCTTGTCTCTCTCTCTTATTTTCCGATTTTCTTCCTCTCATATTTTCTGTAGCCCTTTTTGTCTGTCTGTCTGTCTCTGGCACTGTGGGGGCGGGGGGGCCGGTATCTGCATCTGTTCTCTCTCTCTCTCATCTCTGTGTCTGTCCATCTTGGTCTCTTTCTCTCTGGCCCTTCTCTGTGTGTGATGTCTTATCTGTGTGTTGTGTTTTGGTCCTTCTTTGTCTGTCTGGTTGCCAGATGTGCCCCAGTCCCTCTCCTGCAAGCTTTGTTCTCTGCTTGTGCGTCTAGGGGTGGTGGGCAGCTCTGTCCTCTGTTCGGTGGGGCGGGGCTGCAAGGCTGTGGTTCTGTCCTCTGCAGGCTGACATACTGTGGTTTGCAAGCCCAGCACCTAGAGCAGCTCTGCACAGCGCTGAGAGGAAGCTGCAGCCTCAGTCACCTCGAGTGAGTGGCTGCTATTTGAAGGTGGGTGGGTGGGGCTGATTGCTTAGTGGGTGTTAAGCACGTTAGGTTTTGTTTAGCTTAAGATTTAGATCAGCAGTTCTTTCCTGCTGCAAAAAGGAACCCCTTAGAGAATTCGGTGAAAGTTGTTTTTCTTCCCGCTAAAATATAGATCCGCCACAATTGACAGTCTCCAAAGCCCATCTCTGATCCCTGAGATGAGGGTCACAAACCCCAGGATAAGAACCCTGGGGGAGACCCCAGCTGACCCAGTAGACCTGCTGAGGTCTGGCCTGCCCCAGTTTCAGGAAAAGCTGAACGGCTGAGTGAGAAGGGTGAAAAGACAAAGCTCCTGCCCATCCCTGCCCCCACCCTCCAATAATCTGTTCTCGCCCTGCCCCTCCCAGCTTATCAGGCAATGCTCTAGGGGATGAAGGTGCCACCCAGTTGGCTCAGCAGCTCCCAGGGTTGGGCACTCTACAGTCCTTGAAGTAAGTAGCTGGCTGAGCAAAGCCTCTGACACTTGTTCTTATCAAAATGAGGTGATTTTGGGGGAGGGTGCAGGGGGGGGGGCGGGCCTGGTGTTCTGTGTCCCATCTCAGTCCCTCCTGGGGTTCTCGGAAAGATTAAATCAGAAAATGCATGTCAGTTGCCTGGCCCAGTCCCCGAAAGGTGTGATTCTCATTAAAATAGATACTTGGCCTCTGTGACTCAATAAACCAGCTTCTGATTTACGGTTTCACTTCTTCAACCAGTCTCGGGGAGGCCCAGCTCACCTGAGGCAAGGCAGGCATGGTGGGAAGTATTACTCGATTAAAGAAATGGCTGGCAGCCATTCTGGCCCTGGACTAGGCAAGGAGGGTTTGCACCCCGCAGGACACCCAAGCAGGGTGCCCAGGGCATCTGGAGGACCCTGAGCACCTGGCAGAGAAGGGAGATGCTCCTTGTGAGGAGGAGGCCCTGGGAGGAGGCCCGGAACCCCCAGACTTTGCCTGCAGTAGACCAGAGTTCCTAGGCCCTAAAAGGGTCCTATGTTTTGGCTTCCACATATCCCTCCCCAAGATCTGCTAGTCCAGAGTAACAAGAACCCTGGTGAGAGGCCACATGTCCTAGTTTCCTGGTGTGACCTTGGGCAAGTTGCATCTCCTCTCTGGCTCCCAGCGAGTTAACACGTGAGCTATAGAGGGGGTGCGTTTTGTCTACAACCTTAGCATGAGGGCTGTGACCCGAGGCCCTTCGTGTGCAGCCTCACTGGGATGCTGGGGAGGAGAGGCGGTTACCCCAGTTGCTGCTCAGGGCCTGCACCTGGGCGGGGAGGAGGCCCCACCACTGCAGGCAAATTATATGCAAATTGGAGTTTTCTGGGCAAATCCCCATGTGACCTTCTCGATACTGCTGACAGCTGGTGTGACCCAGGGCCCCCAAAAGCCTGCACTCAACTTATCAGGATCCCCATCCTTAGGAGTATGACATTAAAAGCAAATAAAAGCCACCACGACGGT